GGGTCGGTCTGAAGCGCATTTCTGGAAAAACAAATTGAGCTGTAAAGCGCGGGAGCTGACTAATAAACATGAACAACGTTGGGAATGTCACTGCCGGCCCGAATTCTGGACCAACAACCAAGAGCGCTGCAATAGAATCTCAAGCCTTTCAGACGAAATTATGCTCTTTAAGCTCATCACAAACGGGTTTGAATTGCGCTGTCCGAATTGGGAGTTGCGAGGGCCCACAAGGGAGTCATGGATGCGTGCTTGGGAAGAAGTGCTGACAAAAAACCCCTTAGATCATCCAGAAGAGAGAAAAAAAGAGAAAGTGAATGGATATGAAGAAAAGGTACATTTTGAGAGCTTTGTGAACGTCAACAAGAGCTTCCTTTCTCTCCTCAAAGCGTTCGGTGAGATGGCTCAACAAAATTGATTATAAGGGACACTGAGAACCAGAAAGTTGCCTTGACGTCGCGAAAGGTTATATCCACATAAGGGCTGGGGGGTGGGGTATTTAATGAGAGGGATTAAAGGATTCTGGAGTGGCTGTCGACGTCGCTTTTTCACCGCACTTCTGGGCAGTTGATCGCATGCCTGTTTCCTTCCCCTCCCGCCGAGGGGTATGAAATTGCGTCATGTAATTTTCCGCAAAACACGACCGTCTCAGCATTTCCCCAAAATTCTGCCATCAAGCGTCGAGGTGGGGCAGACACCATCCATCAGCTGTCAAAAACATTAGTTCTGCCGCACCGCCAACTAGGAGGCACATAACCTCCTGATCCCTGAAACGGAGGAGGCGTGGCATTTGAACACGGCCTAGAATGGGTTACTCGAGGGATATTGCAGTTTGAGACAACTGTCATCTTGTTCTGTGTCAAACATGGACATGACCACAATTGTGTCAAAATGAAAGCATCTCACCAGAGTCACTGCCACCGCCTTGTTTAATCGAGGTACGCAGCCACGCCTACCGCATCTCAGGGATTTCGAGTGTACATGTGCAGCGCGTGAAACGAGGAAAATCATTAAAATTCCTGTGGAGACAAATGACCCATCATTGTTTCTCAACCAACGACGTGTGCCCTGCCGTAGCAAAATTCTACTTCATCAAGTTGTTTCTTGTTATATTTTGTTACGATTTAATTCCAGAAACAAAACGACAAATGCGGCTTACTGTACCATAGGAGATCAAAATACAGATCGATCGATTTGACAACCTGATCGCGCGGGGAATGCAGTATATAAGCAGGCATCAAGTCACCCTAGACATCACGTTTATCTGTTGCTGCTCCCAAGAGCTTGTATCAACAGACACCAGTTATTTACTCAGTATTCTAACTCTACTAAGGAACGGTTCGAAGTATTCTGAGCAGTACGGTAAATACAATCGTAACAATCAAACTCTTTCTAAAAGGTAACGAGAAAAGGTACACTATTGGCCAATATTCACTACTTTTCAATCAACATCTTCGTCGATACTTCCAGAAGTGCGAGAGGATCAAGTAACACTGAACTCCCTCTTCACCGTGTGGCCACCTTACTCGAAGCTGTACAGGCAAGCGGGTTTTCGAAAATCAAAAATGGATTTGGATGACTGTCACCGTACTCAACGTTGATGTCCCGGCAGAGCAATTCGTGCCACTGGAGAAAAAACTTGCGGGGTACGGCCTTCCTCGAAAGCATTTCCCTGGTTCGGCCTCCCTTCCCCATCTCCCGTCCTATTCCAACTTCCAAGCTTTTTCCTCCTTTTTCCTAGAAGTCCCCACTTTTTTCCGAAAAACTGCCAGCGAGCGGAGAAGTGGGGAGGTGGTTGTACACGTGAAAATCGAAAAACCAAGAAAAGTCAACAAAAGAGAGTTTGCTCGCTAAGGCAAATAGGTCCCCTTGTTGAGATCATCAAGAACGTTTTCACTTAAATTCATTAAACTTTCCTATTGCCGTAATTTATTGATTAAATTTTTTATTTTGCTTATTTTTCAGATTTTTTGGGGCATTGGCAGCATCCGTCGTATATTAAACTTCGAAATCGATCAAAAGGTTGAGAGCCCTCCTTTTGTTATGGGAAATTTTGCAGTTTTACGACTTCAGATGTTAACAGAACATAATAGAATATTCAAATAAGTTCAACCAAGTCCTTAGAAAATCTCCCTGGGAAATGCACCTGGTCATTACAGTTGGAGGCTAAGGTTAACGAAATAGCAAATTTTAATTTCACATAGTTATCAAAAGCGGTTTTCAAATCGTTCTTCGACTAGGAGCAGTTGATAAATACCCGTTTAATGAAGCCTGAAAAATCACCTGAAATCATACGCACAACATCCAGGTGATTGCTGCTCGTTACTGGCATGCCATTTACCTGCAAAAAGCACCTCAAGATTATTGGAGTTAATGATTGTAGCTTATCAATGTGAAGCTAATTAACCAGTAATGGACACTTGAGAGATGTGAACTCCTCAGGCGTGCGGTCGCGCTGCATCAACTCATAAGATGGATGCCTGTCATGAAGTCGCGATAAATCATATTTCGTTGGGCAATTTTATCGAATAATCACTTTGCTTGGTTTCATGAACTCCTTGAAAAGATACTTATAGATTTGGGAGCGCGCCCAAGGTAACTACTTATCCCGGAGTAGAGAGGGCGTGGCCGAGTACTTTGTCTGAGCATGGCTTAAAATGCGTTTGTCTGAATATTTATATTATACCTTGGTTTTTAAGAGGAAACTTAAGGAAGTTGACATACCGACTATTGTGGGCATTCAAGATTTTTGAAAGTTCCATATCAGTGACTTCTCCGCCTTGTGAGTATTTGTGTGCCAGTTTGTTAAGGTTCTCGTTCTTTTCTTTGTGTCGCTTTGTTTTGTAACTTATACTGGTTTCGCTCAATAATGTAGCGCACCCGTGCGTGGCATGATAAATAAATAAAATATAAAGTAAATCAAATAAATAAATAAATATTAGAGACAGGTCATCCACAAATACATGCTTGAATCCTAGCACAGCGGAAATATTCTTAGCCAGCTACGATCACGTCGAATGAAGCGCGACAGCCACGCCCCCTCTGCCGTCGGTATGGAGTATAGAACTCTGATACACCTTCGCTGCACGGTCTCCATTCATTAAATTGAAAACGGGTTCAGACCCAATCTACGGGTCCCGAATGAGTTACATAGAAACCGAATACTTATAAATACGTCGCTTCTGAGTTTCAAAAAAAAATTGCCAAGCTGCTGCGAAGAATCACATATAACCAACTTGAAAAAATTCCTATCAAACACTTTCTCAAGTTTCCAAAAATCATATACCATTACTACATGGGAAGTTTACCTACTGAATGAGTATGACATGAGTAAATGATTTTCGAAAACAAACATTTGGTCGGAAAATCCCTTGCGTTTCGGCCAAATGATATAATATGTAATTCGATGCGGCGAGTTTCCTTGGCCGAATCAGCAGCAGTCGCTGGTCGTTCAGTGACGACGCAGGAAACGCGATCGGAATAAAGATTTGCACATAAACAACTATTTAAACAATAACTTATTCCACACAATGCCAGTTAAGCCGCCGCAGCGCGAACTTCAACCATTTCGCGTGAGCGCATTCGCATCCACCAAATGCCACTGACGACGTCCAACTAAAGCCGAATGGCAAGAAAAAAAAAAGCTTTTCATTTGGAACGTCTTGCATCACACAGTTACCAGTAACATATTAAAAGGTTTACGCTAAGTAATGGTAAACATAGGCACCTGTGGAAATACCTAGTGAAATACCTAGTAGTTCCCTCCAATTCTAGGAGGATATCAGCAAGCACATGAACAAAACATGAAACAAGGCTCAAATGGGAAGGTCTGGACCGCGATAAGACTCCCTTTCCATGAGATGCTGTCCCTTTTCGTACGATTCAGTCTTCAAACACTACTACCACTTCGAGCCAGTAATCTTATCATATGGACGTGACTGGGCAGTACATTCTCCCGACGAGCCAATTCTTCAATACTTAGGCACGTCCCTTTCCTTATTTCCTATAGGGCACATCATTACGATGTGAAAACGATACCCCTCACCGATGCCTATATTACGACCCCATTTAACCTGAAGTCCTGTGAGCTTTCCCTTTTTCGAAGCCTCAAATGAGGAAGGGGGTAAATACGCTCGAAAACAGAAAACAGTGGGGAAAAAAAAACACAGAATCTCCCATTCTTACCCGAATTTTCCTATTTCCGGACCCCTTTTCGGCACCCAAATACGAATTTTCCTCTGTACTAGAATACCACCCGACGAAAATTTCCCAAAGAATAGTGACCATTTTTCTAACCTCGAAGGAGTTTCCTCGAACTAAACAAGTAATTACAAAGAATACCCGTTCCTTTCGAAAAACAATTTTTGAGGGTGCCAAGGTTTTTCGAATTTTGAGATACGCTTTAATTCCTAAACAGTCAAAGCTTCAAAGTAAAGAAACCCTGCTTCCGTTTGGCAGCCCCTGAAACGGGTTGTATCTAAAAATCGAGGTCCTTCTGAAGACTTTTAGAGCCCTTCAGAATTCAGTTGCCAGTTAACAGTACAATACGGAATGTTTGGTGAGCTATGACCCCGTTAAAGACCGGTCCAAATCTTTAGGATTTCACTTTTACACCAAAATAAGCCTGAACAAGCGTCAAATCGTGAGAAAAGAAATTAATATCCTCTAAGTTTTTGTAAAGTCGCTGGAGTAATGAACATAACGCAATGGCTCACATGTGGAAACCGTCACAATCGCTGAACATTTCCTTTTTTCATTCCATTTACTTAATTTCACTTGCTTTTTGCGTTTCAGATACTTCTAACGTCGATATGGAGCAGTAAAAATGAAAAGGAGACCAAAATCGGTGTTTGCTCCCATTTAGCGCTGGGAATTGGAGGGCAAGCATGCAGTTGCAGGCTATAAGCAGAGATTGCCTCTGTCTGAGACCACCTCAGACAAAGCGTGTTTTAAGTAAACATTGTTTGGGACCTCTTTATTTCATCATCTTTGAAAATCAAAATTCATTTTCCCACCTTCAGGATTCGATCTCCTTCTCGTACGCCGGCACAGAACGCGGCTCCATCGGGTTTTACTGTGTGCACGAAAACCGGATGATCACCGGTTACCGTAAAACCGTAACCATCACTCTGACGTTGTACGACCACACATCGTTCGATCATGCCTTCGCTAGTCGGTTCGCTCACTGAAAAATCGATATCTATACTACTGTACAGCATTTTTTGAAACTCGCTTCGCTGAGCTCATGCTCCACTAGAATCTCGCACCACGACTGTATCAAACTCGCGTATCAAATAAAATGTTCTGATGAAGACTACCGGTATCGCTACCGTAATCAGTAGGAGCAGCACATGGATTCCACTTCTTAAGGTTTCCACCATGCATTACTACTACAAGTGCTTCTGATGTGATCACAGCTGTGCTTATAGCAGAACTAGTGAGCGTAGTCATAGACTACTTTTTTTTCAGCAAACCATAGTTTTACAAACGCTATTACAACTGGCAGTTTGCCAGGTGCAACTATAATCAGTGCCACTCAAAACGCAGGTCCAACAAGCAGAGTGGTTCATAGTTAGTGATCTGAAAATCACTAGTTATCCACTTTTAAAACTAGTATTCTACCAATGAGAACTTCTCCTCTCTCTATGGTCTTCTCCTGGGAAGTCCGATTGACGCTAACTCACTTGTGGAGAACCGCTTAACGTTGCCTCTATGTTAAATTCCCTAAACAAGGCTCAGGTATAGAGCGCAGGCGACAAGATAGGGTACGGCGTCGTTGGAAGCATTCCATCAGGAGGACGTCCTTGGTTGCTTGATCGCCGCGAAGGGGGGGGGGGGGTCGTACCTGTCTTTGAGAAAAATTCCCGGGCAGCTAGAAAACTTTTTGAGGGCTGATTTTCCTCGGCTTTTGCCATATCGTGTTCGATAACAACCATTCCCAAGTTGCCGACGCTGAGGAACCTCCGTGGAATCATACAGGGACCACACATCTCTGAATTTCTGGTAGTTGAAATAATAGTTGACTGATAAGGACTCCGCCCCACCCCCGCATTCCCGCTCGATGCGGTTTTTCAGGGAAAAGCTGAAAAACTTCCCGGGAAAGAAGTTGGGAAATCTTGGTAGGACGGTAAAGTCGGGGAACGGCGTCGCATCAGACCAGGTGATTCGGGGGGGGGGGAGGGGGAAAGTGGGCTCCACACATCACGATGCCGTACCCTGCGACCAGAATCACACAGGGTTAGTCTAGAAAAGACATAGTTTTCAGTGAGCCTAGGCTTTAATTCGGGGAGGGACGCAAAGGTGCTGCCGAGCGCTTCCCCAACTACGTTAGCGCCGTTAAATTCTATGAGTGAGCCATATTACGCGTATCGATTTTAAATTTTATCCAATATTGGCAAGTACACACAATCATGCAAAGGAACTAAAAGCATTGTGACGTCACTCGGAACCCTGCGGATTAACCACATCGAACTTTTCGGCCAAGAGAGAAAAATGGTCAGAATTACTTTACTACTACTTTTATCACCGATTACTCTGAAGTGGTATAAAGTATATAAAGAAGCAACTGAAACCGAGAAAAAAGGCGTCCAATGGGACGATCAGATGGCGGAATGAGACGATGGTGGTTCCTTTCGATGTTTAATTATAGCTGATTCATTTCTGCATACCCTGCTGTAATCGAGAACTAAATCATGCCCCTGACGACAAAACTTATGGCACGATTTTCTGAGTATTCCCATGGGAGCGTTCGATCCCACGTCCCGACAACGAATCATAGATCACAAAACTGAGCATCAGTGTTCAACATAAACCGGAGCTATTTCAGCTCTCATATTCCTACTACTATTCCGTTTCTTACTTTCTACCGCAGTCTTTCGCAGAAACTCCTTTACACCTTCAGATTTTTATTTAATAGTAGAACTACGCCCTATATCTGGAACGTGGAGTAGGCGTGGCCAGGTGCACAATGTCAGCGGCTGAGTTTTCGTGGTACATTGCCATGTTGGGTCAAATGTGATAACGTTTATGTTCATCGCAAAACTTGATGACCGTTGTCACAAGTGAAAATATTCAAGAAAAATGTAAAAAGAAAGAAGAAAAAGGTATCCTGCGCCGTATTCCTATGGAGTTTTCAGCTCCGCCCTCCCGTATGGAATATGGGGTATAATGAATAAGAAAAAAAGGAAAATAGGATGTACGCCTCACGGAAGTAAAATGAAACCTTCCAGTACAAATGCTAGCAAAGAACATTCACCTAATAAAACTTAAATGAGTTAGTAATAAAAGAAAGCCTACTGGCAGCAGACCCGGACGAGTTGCAAAGAGCGACTACCAGCCCAGCAGGAAACCTGTTGAAAAATCTTGCTCATTCGGTTCTTAAATTATTGTATAACATCGAATATATCGGAAGTTGCGCAGAATTTTGTTAAAAAAAAGCAACAAAAAAAAGCGAAAATTTCAGTGTCACCACTCAACTAATGGGCGTAGTTCGGCTTGGGGTCTGGACGGATAAAGTGGCGATGTCAGAAAGAACCCCTCTCCGCCCCGAACCACCTTCCTTCCCCTTTGCCCCACTACAACTTTTCTCAAACATTTGCCGCTAGCGCGGGACAGGGGGAGATGACGCAGGCGCGCACGAGAAAAATAAGATTTGGAAAAATTGTTCTGGAGCAAGGATAGGACCCCAGCGATCAAATACGATCCTATGATTCGCACAGGGATGCTGCCTCTGGAAAAAGCAGGGAGGTGAGATGGTGATTGCTGTCAACGTGCCAAGCCATTTTGTGGAGACCTGTAAACTTGCCGGACCGTTTACGGAGACAAGCTACGAGATGGTGAGAACTCCGAATTGTTGGGCCGCTTCTTTATATATTTGTACAGAAAGGCACGAAGAAACGATTGTACGGCAAGGAAAGGGATTTTCGCTCAGAAGAAAGAAGCTCAAGGTCAATGGAGCAGATCCTACAAGAAACTCTGATACAGATCGTACAAGAAACTCTGATACTTGTAATACTTCTAGCTTTAAAAGCTACTTCTAGCTTTAAAACTTACAAGCGCTCACGAAAACGCCCTGAACGCAATTGTCCCATGAAAGCCCTATTCATCCATTTGCTCTGTTTCATAATTTCAACCCCTTTTTAAGTATATTTCTACCAATATAAACTTGTAGTTTGCATTACTCAACGCCGACAGAGAGTATCCGTTTCTGTTCGGGGGAAGTATTACCCAATTAAGGCGTGCGGCCCAGCATTCCATTCTCTGACCCGCTCGTCTTCACTTAGCTGTGGCCAATTCGTCAAGGAAGTTCGCGCTAACGAGCGGTCAATCTCAGTGGTTACTGGTTTTGGGACCAAACTGCTATTGGACATGAAATAACTCGTTTTAGACAAACATGGTGATTTCAAGTAATTTCAGGAAAAATTCTTATTCAACTGTTTCACTTGGAATGATGGCTGTAAACTTCAAGCTGTTTAGTTATGAGTAGATCGGTCAATACCTAACCCATTACATCTCGGGCTATACGCTCTATGAGCGAACAATGTGGAATGCTACAGTAACTTTTCTTCCGGAATGGCTGGTTGTTCCGAAATATAATTACTTTAGGGTTTAAAAGTAAAAACATAAATAGGCCCTAAAAATTTTATGCAGAAAACCCCTAAGATTTCGGTACTTAGCACCTTTCTCAGCGACCTGGACCCTGCCTCCGCCTCGAAGTGTTGACGCTCAGGAAGAGCACAATACTGGGTTCGTGAAGCCCCTACTATATCCCATGTAAAGTTGAACTCATAGACAACGTCCCTCTCTCAATTGCTGCCCTTTGGCCTGCCCTCGTGCAGCGCCGGGAGATTTTGGAATTGAGCGTCGATGAACAGATCGTGGACGAAACAAGGCACGAAAAACAACATAGTGCAACGTTTTGAGAACTCGCTAAATCCTCGTCGGGTCGCCACAGCCCCCGCCCGCGATGGGATTTTTGACTACTTGTCGTTATTGCTGTTCAAATCGGAGAACAACGCCGATTTTTTTGTGGCCAGCCTGCGAACCCTGGCGGAAAGGTCATTTGGCGTTCTCCGAGCTCCAAGCGGGAAAGACCCTGAAAAGTCTGCCTCAGTACGATCCAACCCTTCTGTTCTCCCAAACCAAGATAAGGCTCCCAAACTTTTGCAAGCCGCAGTGGTGGGCAGGGGGGAGGTTTGAGAGAGACATTAGATCAACTATTACAAATAGTGAATTCAGCGTGTCGCCGAGTGGGGGGAAGGGGTACATGCGCGCCTGAATTCGGAAAATTAACTGCTTAGAAAGATCTGGTCAGGCCAACTGCGATACGACCCCCCTCATGTGGAATTCTTGACCTCCAAAGGACAATGAACAGGCTCCTTTAAACCCTCATGAACGCATGGATGGATCGAAGGGTAAAGTAAAACTCATCGTATTAAGTGCTCAAAGCAGGATTCTCGCTTTTACCAGTTTAATCCCCATTATCGATCATATTCATCTAGGGGAAGGTCACGAAATCGATATACTCATTGAGACAGCTAATGGTTTTGCAGTAAGTAAGATAGGAAAACGTTTATGTTCAGAAAGCTGGTGTAAACACAATGCTAGCCCTTGGCTGACGTCCTATTCTTTTTGCCAGCCGAGAAACTTAGCTCACTGACTAATTTGTTCAAATCAGTAAGATTACTAACGATCCAGTCGTGGGAATGAAGACGACCCTTCACACGTTAGAAACAAGGGCGTTCTGCCGTTGAGGGGAGGGAGATTTCCTACAAAATAAGACCCCCTCCCTGAAGTTCCTCCTCTGGTACGACGCCCCACTTCCCCATCCCCTATTCTACCTATCACCTTCCTCAATTTTTCCAACTTCCTACCACTCTTTTCCGGAAATTTCTTTGAAGATTCCGAAAATTTCCCTTGATCTGCTCTAGGAAACTGCCATGGCAAGCTCTACGTTGGGAGATCTCCATCGAGAAGGGGGGGGGGAGGGGGGGGGGGAGGTAGTCATATTTCATAGCTCGAGGAAGGGGGTCGTAAAGAAAGGGGATGAGCGGGATGAGCACTTGAAACAGGGAAAACCAAGAAAAGTTAACAATAGATAACCTCAGAGGTTAATGTAATCCTTCCCAAATACCCCCCCCCCTCTTCTCGCTGGGGATCCCATTAACGTAGGACGTGTCCTGGTTGGAAACTTTTCCTGTCTCACCAACAGTCCTCTTTTTAAAATCTTTCTTCTCTCTTCATTTTATTTTACAACATAATCCTGGGCAGATGGATAAACAGGTCTTCATCTCAGCGGCTAAAATGAAAAATGGCTAAAAAACCACAAAATATATTTCATCTTCTTTTCAGATCGATATGCATAGATAGATAAGGCTATTCGACATAGCCCAGCCCCGTCAGCCGGTTCGGCTAACTTCCATCCCCAACCAGGGCGTCCGACGTCGCTGAAA